AATAGTCTGCGATTGAGATACTATGATGACTGCTCTTATGGTTTGCTTATGAAATAAAACCACATTTTTTCCCCTTCCACAATTCATTCAAACTCCGGATCAAGGATTACTATTACAAATAGCTGCTACAAGTCTCTCTCTCATAGATTATTGTTTTAAGTTTAGAAAAAAACTATGTTCTTGTAATTTTCAAATCGTGTACTTCCAGTAACGAAGCCTACATTCGGAACTATTAGATGTGTAGGTAAATTTTTAAAAATTAGCATTCATGCGTTTGACGCAGCTCTTGTCGAAATTCAACAGCGTGACTCACTATGAGCACAACCAGAGTAGAGCATACCTGCTTCAAACCAAAAAACAAAACAGAATCCTTGGTATAATGTCCTCCATCTCTCCTTAGCCATTGAGGAAGTTTGGCTAGGTGGTTCTCCGCGCAAAATTCACCCATGACCTCAAAACGCTGTAAAAAAAAACGTGTAAAAAACAGAAAATTAAAAGCCAAGTCAATTTTGAATAAGAAATTAGAATATATTTTGCGAGCGACAGCCGAGCGAAAGAACAGAATGGGTATTTTCATTGGACCGAGTTGAATTAGGAATCATTCGAAATCCAAGTATTCGAACTTTTTAGCTCGAATAATTCGAAAATTAACTATTCGGAACTCTCTTTTCGAGTAATTCGAAAATTTGCATATTAAAATATATTATATTTTCGGATAATTCGACTACTTGATTGAAGTAACCAATTTTTTTTTCCGAAACTCCCAATATATTGCATACCATGACCATATTGATTGAGTCCAGCATTTCCAATGGTCAACGGCTTTATTCTTAGTCCAAACCACATGAAGAGAACTTTTAAAGACATTGTTAAAAATTGATGAAAGATTAGTGTACTAAATATCAATTTGTAACTTCTACCCACTCCATTTCAAATTAATGACTAATTGAAATGGAGCAGTTTGGGAATTTTCATGTAGTATGAATTGGAAGTAGTTCAGTTAAACAGCAGAGTATAGAAGGCTCGCATACCTATTAGCATTGGGTTTGTTCCTTGACTACATGCATATGTGATATGGGAAGGACATCGACACTGAACAGAAAATGAGTATATATGGTTAAGCATCAAATGATAACAGTGATGACAGAAATAACATACAATAAATATTTTCGTAAGAATATGAGATGCTGATGCAAGCGAAAAGTACCTATGCTGAAAGAGATAATGTTTCAAGTGATGGAAATATTTATTTAAGATGTTATCCAATTAAGGGCGCGTTTGGAATGACATCCTATCAAATTATATCAAGATCCAAGGCAAGAGAAGACTTTCAATTTTGAAAAAAAAAGGTTAACAAGTAATACTCACAACTTTCATTTTTGTTTTCCATTTGATAAGAGCTTGTTTAAATAGGATAACAGAGATTATCAATCCTAATGTCTATAGGGAAAACTCGGTGTATCTCATTTCTCTCTGCAACGCCATGGGTGCAAGCGGCAAAAATACTCGTAACCAATTTGTATGAGGTTCATGAAGTTAGAAATTCAAGAAAAAGTTTTGCAGAAGGCCGAAAAACCAGCACAATGAAAAAGTCATCATCAGTAGATCAGAATAAGTTGTATGGTTCCACATCATCTAAGCCTAAACCAACGTCGACAACAACGTCTATTATCTCTACGTCGACAACGTCTGCCAGCTATAAGTCGTCAACAACATCCCCAAGAACTACGACTTGCCTATAACATCGACGACGATAACTTAAACTTTTAGTGAGTTTGAAGTCAACCTCTTGTCCGTCCCTTTTTGCATTGGATTTCAGAAGGTACTGTGAAAACTACGTCAGAGGAAGCAGACAATCAACAACTACAGTATCATCTATGTATTCGACGGTGACACCCATCTCTACTGCTCAGACCACAATTAGTAAGTGCTAACTATTTATTTTACTGAAAAGATTGACACTTACATTTTCAACCACTCGCCCATTACAGTAGAAGTTAGTGTGATGTAAAATCCTTTGCCCTGCATTCAATGAATATTTTTTAAAACTGACCCAGGAACTGATATAGTATAGGTTATGGCTCATGGAATTTTCGCTCTTAACAAAGTGAAGTTAATCAATCCCAGACAATTCTAACGCGAACAAACTTCAGCAGAAAACGTGGATGGCTATGACACCGGCGAACTAACAGAAAGTCAAATACCCCAGAGAAGCCACAACAGCAAAACTTACAAG